TTAAGACTTTTTGAGATTATTTTTTGTAAAAAAGAAGCAAGATTGTGCAAAGGACTGTTAATAGATGAAATGATGATTCTGAGAGGATTGCCAGGCTTGTGGATTTTCGGCAAACCATAAGCTCTAGGTAGATAAGGAATGGATATTCAACCTTTTGTAAACAAAATCCGTAATGTAATCGCGAAGCTTCCATCTTTTTAATAATTCTTTAAGTGAGTTCAAAATTGAATTAACAGGATTACACTTGACTTTAGGATGCACTTCCTAAAGTTGCTAATTTTCACACTGCCTTTTACAGTCTTCATAAACTATCCAAATTCATCAAAGTCCTGAAGGATCCCCTTCCTCCATTCTCCCGTTCTTCCGTAGTGTACAGAGTTAATTGTCGTGATTGCGATGCTTCTTATGTCGGACAAACCAGCCGTATGNTATCAACTAGAATTAAAGAACATAAAAATCATATTAACAGAAATACAGTCCAAAGATCTGTGATTACTGACCATCGCAAAGACTACCTTCATGATTTTGAGTGGGAGTGTGTTAAGATTTTAGATACTGAAAGATCTTACTATAAGCGCCTAATTTCAGAAACCTTGCATATCAAGAACCAAGTTCAAGGTCTTAATTTACAAAGCGATACTGAAAATGTAGATAAAGTCTACTTACCATTAGTAGATAATTCAGTATAATATATTTTATATTACGTTTTTCTTTCTATCTTAAACCTCTGCATATTATTGTTACACACCGTCACGACCTGTTAGTTGTTTTGGTTCCTACTTGTAAGGAATTACACTACGCCATGTAACGACATCGATGAGAAACTTTTTTGCGTGCTTTGTAAGTTTATTTCTTTTTTATAATTTGCTTTCTTTAGTATATTAAAATTTGTTTTTAGATTGTATTGAGAAAGACCTAAAATGAGAGGTCAAAAACGTTCTACATATTAATAAATATCAGGATTATACATTTACACTATTACATCTGTGTCTGCTTCAAATAGCCATTTCCTTGAAATTTTTTAAATACTTGGAGCTTATTTACACACCTTTAAAAAATTTTTATTTTCTAGGCAATTTTTCCTAGTTACTTCCCTTACAACTCAAATACGCTTTTAACGCTTTTTTCGCGTCTTTAGAGTTTTTATTAACACAATGCAAAACTAAAACTTACAAATAAAATAAAAATGAACAAAAACCTTATTTTAACCGTAAAACTAACATTAACGCTTTCTATGGTGATTTTGCTGTTACTAAGGCTTAACCTTAACCACATAAATAACAAAAATAAAAATAAAACAAAATTTCAGTTTTTTCTGCGCTTCGCCGTCTCCTCACGTGTTGTCCACGCCTTTGTTGGTGTCCGACGTCCCGCGCAGCTCTTCTGGCGCATCCTCCACTTTTATTAGTGTATCCTTCTCAGCCAATGACAGCTCCGATGCCTCCGCTCGCTGTTTTCACTGTATTTCCGGACTCGCCGTCGGCTCGTCCGGACCGTCACCCTGCTTCCTTAAGATCAGCGGTGACAAGGTTAGGTTGTGACCGGTGTTATCATCAAACTTGGCCGGGTACTCACGTATTACGCCCTGATTCACGGTCGCCAGGTAATTTCACCTCCAATCACCAAGGTATTACAATCCTTCCTTTGTTTCAGGCGTTTCAGAACATCCACGTACTAGGACAACGCTTCCAGGATGATAGGATCTTTGCGGGTAAGTATTTCAAACACACAGTCTTTAGATACTAGATAACTTAATATTTGTCTTTATTTTTACACTATATACTTTGTTTACATATCGGAAATATACACGTATCGATATTTTCGCTTCTCACTGAGTGTATCACAATTTTTATTAGCTCATCTGTCACGATACATCCGCACGCTGTGAGCTTTGTGTTTACGACTGTCTTCTCCGGCGCTGCGCGCCTTCTTCTCCCTCCGGCGTCTACTCCGCCGCCGCAAAGTAGTACCGCCTGCGCATGCGCGGTCTCTTTCACTACAACCTAAGCTTTGAGTATAAGGGCTCCCGCTTGGTGTGTGTGTTGTGTGTGTGACTATTGTATGAATGGTGTATGTTTAAGTGCTTATGTCTATTTTTTAGTGTATATGTAGTAAACTAAAAGTGTGACTTAAGTGGTGAAACTTAGTGTGTGTGACGTATGTGTGACGCCTAAGCTTGTGGTGTGTAAATGTTTGCTTATGTATGTGTTTGTGTGTATATGTGGTGTGAACTAAAATTACGACTTAAGCCGTGAAACTCTGTGTGTATGATGTGTGTGTGATGCCTAAACTTGTGGTGTGTAAATTTTTGCTTATGTATGTGTTTGAGTGTATACGTGGTACGAACTAAAAACTGCGGCTTAACACTTTACCGACCGGTAGCGGTTCGAACAAACTATGCCCTTTCACCGCCCGCTCAGCCGCAGATCGTCCGAGACACCGGCTCGGTTTCGGCCTAGACCGACGCGCGGGAATATATGCGCTTTTCTTAAACTTTGGTAAAATTGTACGCTTCGTGTTATTTTAGGGTAACGAAATTTAATAAAATTTTTTACTTTAATCATATTAGTGTTAAACAATATTTATTTTATCTATTACAATCGTTTTCAGTTTATTATTTACATAAAGTATACTATAATCCAT